TGTTACACGCGCTACTACTAAGGAATAGCTGTAGCACCTTACTAGTAGCGCGGGGCCCCGCGCTACTAGTAGGCATTAAACCCGCGCTACTACTAGGCTTTTCCCTAGTAGTGTCGGTACCTCGGTGTGGTGTGAGTGGGACTCCAAGCAAAAGCTCCGTGTTCGGCATTGGTGATGCATGTGGGTATCACATCCCTCTTCAGAGCATCATTGTGGTTCCCCTCCCCATACATGGGCTCCGGGTGTAAATCCTAGGTCGTTGTTTCAATCTTACATAAATGATCTCCAAGAGGGAGTTGTGTATGCTTGTTAGGTTTAATCTTGAAGGTCATCTATCTCAGTGACGGAAAGAGAAAACGGCTTGCATTGTGTTAATGGAAAAAAGATAGTTGCCTAGTTATCTCAGTGATGAGCCGGAGGTAAAGAGAATATACTATCAACATTATGTCATGTTGCTTAATGCAATGCTCTATTTTTACTTAATACTTAGAGATGCATGCCGAATGGAGTCTCCAATGGAGTATTAGCTACATATTGGATAACAGTTTATGGATATAAGGTGGTAACACATATATGCAATCATGACATGTAAGGTCAATCGTAAAACTTTAATTTAATCGATGCATATCTGTGATTTGTTCACCACACCTATACTATGTTTTATGGAGCGATGCCACTAGTGAAGTTATGGATACTAGTACATTATTCCTTATGATCACAACCTCGATCAACCCTTTTTCTTATTGTTTACACTCTGTACTGTTTTGTTTAATTTCTTACAACCACTACTTCCAACCACAAAATGCATTAATACTTATAACTAGGAACACTAGTAAGGTGGATACCCTTACTAGGAGTGTTGTGGATGAAGTGACGCATCTTATTTGTGTGCAGGTACCGATCATTGGTTGTTAACCAAGACTCTGCGGATTGATACCCTGAGTCTCAACGGTGGGAAAACTTACTGCATTCTACAAACCCTTGCACTTTGGGGCCAACAAACTCTTTCCACAAGATAGTGAAGGATCTAAGTATTAAAGAGAAAGAGTTTATAACATGAAGCGAGTTTCCCTTAATAACCAATGTATCAATCCGCAGAGTTCTTTAACGAGTCAATTATCGGCACCTACACACAACTAGAAAACTTCTATTGGTCCCCAACTTAGACTTGAGGTTGTCAATCCTACTATCTTTGTTATTTACAAGAATTGATGCACTGTGTGGTTAGAATTGATTTTTAATTGATGAAAGTAAAAGTTTGGATTGTAAAGGAATAGAAAAGAAAGCAAACGATGTTGTATTTATGAGAAATAAAGTACCGGGATCCATAATTTCATTAGTGGTATCTCTCCTAAAGTAACATATGTGTAATGAACAAATTACAGTTGCATATTGATTAAATTGCAGTGTTATGAGTAATCATACATGTCATGATTGCACATGGGCATTACGTACTTATGTACGTAGACCATTATTCAACTGCATCTATATCTATTTCTCCACTTGAAGTATTAAGTAAAATAGAGCATTGCATTACGCAAGTGACATAATGTTGATAGTGTATTATCTTTACCTCCAGTTTATCAGTGAGACAACTAGGCAACTATCTTTTTATCCTTAGTGGCAATAACATAATACAAGCTCTTTCTTGTTTTTATGTCATTAAGATAGATTACTTCCAAGGTTAAACCAGTGTTGCATACACAACTCTCTCTTGAAGATCATTCATTTAAACATGGCGAGTGCAAGACTAATAGATCGAAGAGCATGCATGTATATAAATCATCCATCAAAGAACTCAAATAAACCAAATATAAATCCATATATAATCTGATTGAAAGTGACAATTCATCACATTGCAAGAAACACATCAGAAATTACATCGGATGTATCGTAATCACGTAGGGCAGCTCATGTGATCTTTGTATTGAGAAATAAGAGGAGATGCCACATATCTACTGCTATAGACCCAAAGTCTAAGGAAGGCTACTCATGCATGATCATCGGAGCAATAAGGTTGATGTGGATGGCTCTGGTAACAATTTCCCCCTCAATGGAGTACCGGAAAAGGACTACAAATTGGATCACCTCGAAATGCATCCAGAGCACGACGTAAAAATTCTCGATAGATGTAGGGTTCTTGGGTATATATAGATCCAGGGGACCAACATTCCGCGGAGTTGATCACTAGGGGGGATACGGCCATATGACGCGACTAGGGGGTCTGGCTGCGTGTCCCACACACCGGGGCACCTGGCCTCCCCTGGCGGCTCTCCGTCCCCTAGTGTCGTTCCGGTGTTGAATCTTTGCAACAAATTTTTATTTGATTCCTTAGTCCTCGGAAAATAATAATTCCGAAATTTTCAAAAACATGTAGAAAACAACAATTGACACTGGGCACTATATGAATAGGTTAGTCCACTAAAACTCTATAAAAAGTGGTACAACTGTGTGTAAATGATATAAAAGTAGCATTAAATGACAAAAAATAAAGATACATTTGAGACGCATCACGACTTCGCGGCTCTGAGGCTATATTTGGAGTTTAGGCGATGGAGGTGGCGGCATCGCAATGTCAAGGATTCACGTGGCTTCAATTTAGCAAAAGCGAGCAATGTCGCGATATTGAGCCTTCATACGACATTAATGCGATGGGGATAAGAAGCACCACAAATTCAACGACATGTGCGACTTTGAGCTGATGAAGCGGAGAGGTGTCGCGATATTGGTGTGCAAGGATATTGGTGATTGCTGCCAATAAATGAATAAATGTGATGACTATAGATGGTAGCCAAAACTAGTAAAAGCAAGCTGAGAATATTAAATGCGAGGGTAGAATATTAAACATCGAATGGATGATATATTACTCATATGATTGTGTATATTTTGTTGAGCAAGTAATTCGATACATGTACTTTTGCCTACATAGGCATGTGTTCCTAATGTTATCAGATGTACTTATATAGGTATCCGCCATCTTTTGTCCCACCCCACAAGTCACCGTGAATATACATAGTTTAATTAAGATGATTATTTCTGGAGGCCATCGAAGCAACACAATAGCATTGAATGGCCACATTTGATCCACAAATCATAGTCCACACCCATGATATTCTGGTATGTTGCCCTTAGGGGCACCTATTTGGAGATATAAAGGTAAAACAACTTATAGAAATAATCTAAACAATTAACATCATGATAACATATATGATTTAGATCCAAAATGTTGCTACTTTTGGGCCCTAGTTGCAAGAAACAAAATGTTGCTACATTACACACAACAAAGTTGCAAGAAACAATAGTTCAAGAACAACAATAGAACTAGAGCCACTAATATAACATCAAAACACTATTACATTGGATAAAAGAACACTATTATATGATTGGCACCACCCAATTGCCATCCATCTCATACCCAAATCGCTCACACATGAATGAAAAAACATGATAGCGGCGATGTTGGAAGACATGGTGTCAATGACTACGGAGAGGAGGCTTCCCCAACAGCGGAGAAGGCAATCTGATCTATCCTTGAAATAAAGATCGGTAGTGACATCGTCTCTCGTCATGGAACAAAAAAAAGGAAAAATAATCTTTTGAGATTTCGGCCAAACCCCTTATTTTGTAATCATAAGGTCATCTCCAACGCGGGATGCTTGAAGAGGCGCTAGGACACACAGATATGCAGCGGGCGCTTCATTTCTTTCTTTCCCGCATGAGGCGCATGTGCGGCGAGCGTTGTAGATGCCCTTAGGGAAGCCTCATGAGGTGCACCTAGGGCCAGCACACCCATACCCGGGCCCTAGATGCACGACCTGGGTGTGAGAGCCCCAAGTGTGGACCATCCCAAGTTTTGTTTTGTGTGCCATTATTTTTCTTCTAAAACTCTAGAATATATTTTTATATTATTTTCTCTAGATTTAAATTCCTACACATTCACAAACACAATTTTGGGTTTTTGCCAAAAACAGTGCTAGTAACGATGAGATTTATTTATTAGGGTAAAGTTATATGTCAAATTATACCCAAAGTGGTCAGAAAAATAGATACATTTTCACCGTATCGGCTCCTCCAAACTTAATTTATTACTTGTCGTCAAGCTATCACATCCTAACTATACGGTCACGCTTTGACCCGCAATTTTGCATCACACACTAGAAAAACGTCCGTTACTCCTTGCAACGTCTCAATTATCTTTGTGAACTAGTTGCATTTTTATCTAGTCATCATTGCTATAAGATGATAAGGTTTTGGTCAAACCTTCATACCTACACGTATCAACGTGCGCGGGCTTGCGAGGCCTGAAATGTTGACAATAGCAACATTTCAACATGCACGTGAATGTGTGTGGATGACATGAGAAGCTTGCGCAGACACGGCTTCTAAACATCTCTTTTCTATTTATTTAGCATTGCCTATAAATACAGGGCAGCTTCATCCAAACATCCACATCTGGAAAGCAAGCCAGTGCTAGAAACGACCAAATCACATAGAGGTACATAGAGCTGGTGGTGAGTACCATGTCATTCCTCCCTCTTATTCGAGAAGATCCTTGTCATCCTATCTATTCTTCGGTTTAGAATATCATTTGCCACGGGCATCTCTAGGAACATGATCAGAAATTCATATCATCAATTGTTTTCTCTCTTTTCATATTATTCACTATGTTCTCTTTTTGGTACTCCTTCGGTTCCGAAATACTTGTCACGATTTTAGTTCTATTAAGAAAGTGTTTCTTTTACATGCTCCAAACTAGTACTCCCTCTGTCTCACGATGTACTAAGACGTTTTTGCAGCAAAAACGTCTTACATTGTGGGACGGAGGGAGTACCGCTTATTCAAACTTATAAAGGAAAAGGTTAAGCTGGACACCAGCTTCTGGATTGAGTTGTGGCTGGCTAAAAGTGAAGCCTAGTTAATTGGGAACTGAAAATTCATTAAGCTGATGTTGACCTGGAAGCATTACTACTTGCAGGCGTTTGTCCAATTTCGTTTCCAACATGAGCAAGCAAGGCGACGGTCCCAAGACTGAGTGGCCGGAGCTGGTCGGGCGCACGATCAAGGAGGCAAAGGAGAAGATCAAGGCGGACCGGCCGGACCTCAAAGTCAGAATTGTCCCGGTAGGAAGTATTGTGACAGCAGACTTGGATTTGAACCGCGTTCGCGTTTGGGTCGACACGGTGGCAGAGGTTCCCAAGATTGGCTAATATAGCTTATAATTAGCCTATCACTGAAATAAAGGCCCATGGAAGTCTCCACTTCGTTCAGTTAATTGGCCGAATAAATAAGCATGGGTACAGTTTGAAAAAAATGTATGGATGTGCTATGTAATGTTGTTTTGTTTTTGTTTTTGTTTTTGTTTTATTTTTGAGGATAACTCGCCGCTTTATTTATCTAATGAAAGTTTGGGATCTCCTTGGAGACCACATCTAACACAAAGTCTGGTGGCACCATAAGCCAAATCTTACAGAGTTCATCTCCTACTCCTACTTTAGCTAGCTTATGAGCAGCGGAGTTTGCCGATCGTCTTACCCACGAAACCTTCCTGTCGTTGAATCCACGCATCATCTGCTTGATCTCCTCAACACATGGACCTGAGGCCGAGAGGTTCTTGTTCGGGTCTGCAAGCATGCTTGCCACCCCCATGTTGTCCGTCTCGAGGTGTAATCTCTGAACATTAATCTCATGTGCTAGTTGGACCGCCCTTCTGCAGGCCATGAGCTCCGCCATCTCAGCATCCACGCGATCATCAATGAAAGTGCACGCCGCCGCACGGAAGTCACCTTGGTCACCTCTGAGGATGACCCCGCCACCGCCCTTTCCTCCAAGTCTAGATACTGCTCCATCAGCATTAGCTTTTACCCACCCTGGCTCCGGGGCCGCCCATCGCTGCACCTCCCTCGTAGTTTTGTTTTTGAGTTGTAAGCATCAGCAATATTCTCGAGCCACTGTTTATTGTTCAGGAAATATAATCTACTTCAGCATTAGGACATGCTCTGTGAATTCTTCTTGAAGGCCAATGATATGCAGGGTATGATTTATTTTATTTTTTGCAGGAAAGGAACTTTCATTGATCAAGCATCGTGATTACAATCCGAGTCAACTATGGTAGCTATCTCCATAGGGGAGTTACGAAGCCAACAGCCAGTACGTTGTTGCGAGCGACCTATAGATGCAAGGGTATGACTCGCCATATTCGCGTGCCTACTAATCATAACTAGACTAATGTTCCTCACTCGTGTTGCAGCAAAGATAACAACAATTGAAGATCACTCGTGTTGCAGCAAAGATAACTGCTCCATCATGATCACGCAAAACCATACCAGCCCCCGCCGTGTCGTCTTCCTTCACAAAAGAACCGTCAATGTTTAATTTAGCATGGTCCAAGTCTGGAGGTTCCCACCGTGGTTTAGCTGTAACTTCATATGTGCTAGTTGGCTTGCTTCCAGAAAAATTAATCACATGTTTGCCCTTAACCATGTCCGCCATTGGGTGCTGCTCGATCCCAAGGAGCGACGTAATATAGCTTGATAGGAACCTGTGGGAGCCTTCGATCAGGACTGGTGGTTTTTGGTGGGTAACCTCATTCCGAGCATCCCAGATTATCCACATGATCATGAGTGAGGCTAGCCTTTGCACGTCCGGCAATTTCTCCAGTAGGCGAAATATCCATTCTGGCTCCGCGTCATGCAGGTCTTCCGGCGTTGGCAGCTCACAGTTTTCGCGCATCGCATCCCAGAGAGCTACTGCATGACCTCGGTATTATTTTCATCCGCGGTTTCCCACTTCTCTGTCTCTGGGTGAATGCCTCTATCAGAGGTTATGCGCCAGCTTGGGAAAGCCTTAAGTTATACTCCCTCCGTTCCTTAATATAAGGTGTATTATTTTTTTCTAAAGTCAAAGTTCTCTAAGTTTGATCAAGTTTATAGACAAAAATATCAATATCTAGAATACCAAATCATTATCACTAGATCCATCATGAACTATATTTTTACATTTTATATATTTAGTATTATAAGTCTTTATATATTTTGCTGTAAACTTGGTCAAATATAGACAACAGTTGATTTTTTGAAAAACTAATACACCTTATATTTAGGAACGGAGGAAGTATCTTAATCTGTCTTGCAAGGTAGATAGGGCAACGTATCAAGGCATGGTGCACGTTTTCCTCTCCCATCCCACACAACGTACATGTGTGGTCAAGTATCATATGCCTTCGCTTCTTTTCAACTTGTGTCGCGAGTGCTTCCCGGGCAGCTTTCCACGTGAATATGCGGACTTTGGCAGGCTCGTTGTTCTTCCAGATGAGGTCCAAGACCGGTCGACACCCGTCCGGCCGCGCACTAGATGCTCCCGTCTCCCGACCCGCCATATGCTCTTGCAAACCAAGGTAGTAGGCACTACGTACAGAGAAGTGCCCACGTTTATCAGGATGCCAAGCTAGGAAGTCAGCTTCCAACCTACTAGATGCCTTAATTTTTAGAATGCAATCCACATCCGACTGAAAAAAATGCTGTTGAAGGAGAGTTCTATTCCATGTACCATCTGGATTAAGTAGTTCAGAGACCCACTTGAGCCGGCAGCGATGCTTTGGAGTGAGCGGCCTTCGAGACTTGGCATGGGGTAGCCATGGGTCACGCCAGATGCGCACCCTTGATCCGTCACCGATATGCTAGATGATACCTTTTTTTAGCAGCTCCAGTCCGTATTCAATAGCGTGCTATGTTGAGGATGCATTGCCTGTAAACACAGTGTCCACCAAGAACCCATTGGGGTAATACTTAGCCATTGCCTGTAAACACAGTGTCCACCAAGAACCCATTGGGGTAATACTTAGCCTTGAGTACCTGCACACATAAGCTATTAGGATTTTCAATCAACCTCCAGGCCTGCTTAGCGAGCAACGCTTGATTAAAAAGTTTCATATCCCGGAACCCCATTCCACCATGAGATTTGGGTCGTAATATCCCAAGATACCCAATGAGTTCTTTGCCTCCCCTGTGTTGCCCCCCACAGAAAATCACGTATCATCTTAGTGAGGTCCTCACACAAGCCATCTGGGAGTTTAAAGACACCCATAAGATATGTGGGTAGGGCTTGGGCGACCGCCTTCACGAGCACCTCCTTTCCCCCTTGAGAAGAATCACCTCCTTGCACCAGCCTCTTTAATAACTTGGCCTGCAACCCTTGAAATTTGCCTCGGTGCATCCTCCCCTCGGGGGTCGGCAGCCCGAGGTACTTCGGCTCAAATTCTACTTATGACACATGAAGTACTGATTTAATTTCCTCCTGGATCTCAACAGGGCAAGACTTTCCGAACATAAGGGAGCATTTATCAACATTCACTAACTGGCCAGTACCTTGGACATATGAGTTAATGACCTGCAATAATCAATTAGCGAGCAATAATAATAAAACTCGGATGACAACACTTTCTCAAAACAATCATAATATGATATAACAAGATGGTATCTCGCTAGCCCTTTCTAAGACCGCAAAACATAAATGCAGAGCACCGTTAAAGATCAAGGATTGACTAAACATTGTAATTCATGGTAAAAGAGATCCGGTCATAGTCATACCCAATATAAACTAATAGTAATGCATGCAAATGACATCGGTGCTCTCCAGCGGGTGCTTTTTAATAAAAGGGTGATGACTCAACATAAAAGTAAATAGATAGGCCCTTCGCAGAGGGAAGCAGGGATTTGTAGAGGTGCCAGAGCTCGATTTTAAAATAGAGATAAATAACATTTTAAGCGGTATACTTTCACTGTCAACATAACAACTATGAGATCTCGATATCTTCCATGCTACATACATTATAGGCGGTTCCCAAACAGAATGGTAAAGTTTATACTCCCCCACCACCAACAAGCATAAATCCATGGTTTGCCCGAAACAACGGATGCCTCCAACTAGTAACAATCCTGGGGGAGTTTTGTTTAATTATTTTGATTTGATTTGAGCATGGGACTGGGCATCCCGGTTACCAGCCATTTTCTCGTGAATGAGGAGCGGAGTCCACTCCCCTTTAGAATAACCCACCTAACATGAAAGATACAGACAGCCCTAGTTGATACATGAGCTGTTCGAGCATACAAAGCAGAATTTCATTTGAAGGTTTGGAGTTTGGCACATACAAATTTACTTGGAACGGTAGGTAGATACCACATATAGGAAGGTATGATGAACTCATATAGAATAACTTTGGGGTTTATGGAGTTTGGATGCACAAGCAGTATTCCCGCTTAGTACATGTGAAGGCTAGCAAGAGACTGGGAAGCGACCAACTGAGAGAGCGACAACAGTCATGAACATGCATTAAAATTAATCAACATCAGGTGCAAGCATGAGTAGGATATAATCCACCATGAACATAAATATCGTGAAGGCTATGTTGATTTTGTTTCAACTACATGAGTGAACATGTGCCAAGTCAAGTCACTCGAATCATTCAAAGGAGGATACCACCCTATCATACCACATCACAACCATTTTAATAGCATGTTGGCACACAAGGTAAACCATTATAAACTCATAGCTAATTAAGCATGGCATAAGCAACTATAATCTCTAATTGTCATTGCAAACATGTTTATTCATAATAGGCTGAATCAGGAACGATGAACTAATCATATTTACAAAAACAAGAGAGGCCGAGTTCATACCAGCTTCTCCCATCTCAGCCAGTCCATCATATATCGTCATTATTGCCTTTCACTCGCACGATCGAACGGTGTGTATAATAATAATAGTGCACGTGCATTGGAGTAAGCTGGAATCTGCAAGCATTCAATTCAAGGGAGAAGACAAGGTAATGTGGGCTCTTGGTTAAATCAAAGATAATGCATATGAGAGTCACTAATCATTTTCATTATGGTCTTCTCCTCTCGACCCCCAAAGGAAAAAAAAGAAAAGAAAACTATTTACACGGGAAAGCTCCCAACAAGCAAAAGAAGAACGAGAAATTTTTTTTGGGTTTTCTTTTAATATTACTACTACAAGCATGAAAAGTAAACTAACTAATTTTTTTTGGTTTTTCTTAAGGTTTATCAAACACACAAGAAGAATGTTAGAAAAAGAAATTAAACTAGTATGGATAGTACAATGAAAAAGTATGAGCACCGACAACTAGAATGAGTGTGTGAACATGAATGTAATATCGGTGAGAAATACATACTCCCCCAAGCTTAGCCTTTTG